ATTCGCTGTGGCCATGATCTCTGCATCAGTTGCCCAGACTCCATCATGAGAGATGCCAGAAGTGCTCACATATTCACTCACATTCCGGTTCAAGTAGTCCTGTAGTTTCTCTGTCAAGTCAGTGTTCATGTGGTGGATGACTTTATTTCTAAGAAGGGAGTGGTTGTCCTCTGATCCTGTCAGGATGTAGCTGATGTCCCAGAAGTAGCAGTTCCCATCACCTTTGGTTTTATACGTACGCCGTGGATGCCCAAGCTCCCTTGTGCGTCCACAGTACACAACCTTTACTAATGAAAGGCCAAGAGTGGTGCTAAGATACTTTCTTACAGAACTTGGTAGTGGGTTGAAAGTCTTCATCTGCTGGCATCTCTGTGAGATGTTGATGTCATCATTGTCTGGTCCCTCACATGGTCTTTTGAGTGTCTTCTGCTTCAGGCTGTCATTTGCAGAGTCACTAGGATAATCATCATGGGACTTGGGTGGTGGAGAAGCCTCTTCTTTCTGGAAAAGCTTAAGGTTGCTGGTGTGGTAGGTGTTGTTCAGCATCTTGTCAGTCTTACTGTTCCTAAGTTTTACACGTCCCTTGGTCAAGGATTCCACAACTGAGTAGGGTCCAATCCAGCGTGGTTCCATCTTTGAACCCATGCGACGAACACAGCGCTGATTCTTGATGTAAACTATGGAGCCAACACTGATTTATTTCTTGCTGTTGTGTCGACGATCAAAGCCACGCTCCTGGTATTCCTGGGCAGAGTGGATGTTGGTGCTGACGGTTGAACAGAGCTTTTTATTAATGGTTGTCAGTGTATCCAGTACATCAGGGTTAGCTTCATCTGAAAGGGGCATGGAGCCCACAATGTCAGCCTCTGAGGGCTTGAGGTCCATAGGAAGCTTTGCCTTCCGTCCATACATGACCTCAAATGGAGTACACTTGGTTGAGGCATGCACAGATTTGTGATACGCAAACAGAACACCAGGGATAAATTGGTCCCAGTTGTTGCCTTGGTCATTGACAAGCTTACTAAGAGATTGTTTGAGTGTTCGATTGTTATTGGGGAAGTATCTCTCTTAGTAGGAAAATACACCAGCCCCAGAAAGCATGCCTGGGGGGTTAATCTGGCCTGGGGGGGTTATTCTAGCCTAGGCCAGAGTAACCCCGGGTTTACTCTGGCCGGGGGGTGAATGGGGGGGTTATTCTAGCCTAGGCCAGAGTAACCCCGGGGTTACTCTGGCCGGGGGGGTGAATCTGGCCTGTTACAGCCGGCCAGATTAACCTGGGGTTACACTAGCCTAGGCCAGAATAACCCCTCCGGGGTTATTCTAGGCTAGGCCAGAGTAACCCCGGGGTTACTCTGGCCGGGGGGTTAATCCGGCCTGTTACACCGGATCAGATTAAGGGGAGGGTACTATCCTTTAGAGGAGCTGCGGTGGCTCAAGTGGTTAAGACGCTGAACTGCAGGCTGTGGAAGGTCGGTAGTTCAGCAGTTCGAGACCCGGGTTGCCGCATGACGGAGTGAGCTCCCGTCTCTGGTTCCAGCTCCTGCCAACCTAGCAGTTCGAAAGCAAGAAATTGCAAGTAGATAAATAGGGACCACTTTGGTGGGAAGGTAACAGCGTTCCGTGCGCCTCGGTGTTTAGTCATGCTGGCCACATGACCACGGAAACGTCTTCGGACAGTGCTGGCTCTTCGGCTTTGAAACGGAGATGAGCACCGCAACCCTAGAGTCGGACTCGACTGGCTTTCGAGCAAGGGAACCTTTACCTTTACCTTTTACTATCCTTTAATGGGGCTGTGGTGGCTCAGTGGTTAAGATGCTGAACTGCAGACCGGAAAGTTGGTAGCTCAGCAGTTTGAGACCCGAGTGCCGCATGACGGAGTGAGCTCCCATCTCTGGCCCCAGCTCCTGCCAACCTAGCAGTTCGAAAGCAAGAAATTGCAAGTAGATAAATAGGTACTGCTTCGGTGGGAAGACAACAGCATTCCGTGCACCTCGGTGTCTAGTCATGCCGGCCACATGTCCATGGAGAAGTCTTTGGACAGTGCTGGCTCTTCAGCTTGGAAACAGAGATGAGCACCGCACCCCTAGAGTTGGATTCGACTGGCTTTCAAGCAAGGGAGACCTTTACCTTTACTATAGACAGGAACTCTCAGTCTGGGGCAAGGGGTGCTCTGTATTCTTGGTTCTTGGGGGGGGGGCACAGTGGGAGGGCTTCTATCTCCTGGCCCCACTGCTGGACCTCCTGGTGGCACCTGGTATTTATGGCCACTGTGTGACAGAGCGTCGGACTGGAGGGGCCACTGGCCTGATCCAACATTGACTTCTCTTATTTTCTTATGATAAAAACCAAACAAAATAAGTAAATAATAAATAGAATAGGTGGACTTCCAGCCCTACCCGAGGGCATCCCATGGGAATTCTTGGCGCAGATGAATGAAACCGAGTGGGTGTTTCTGCTGATGCTGTCGCGTACTCTTTCTCCCCCAGGTGCCGGGGTTTGCTGCCCCCCAGGCTGGATTTCCTTCCGGACCAACTGTTACTGGGATTCCAGAGCGGGGAAGTCCTGGGAAGACGCCAAGAGTGACTGCGAAGATAAAGATTCTCACCTGGTGATCATCAACTCCTACGAGGAACAAGTAGGTGGGGGGGGGAGGCCTTGGCCAGTTCTGCCAGTTCCCTCACTCCACCCATCCCATGCCTGGCTGGGGGGGGGGGGGGATGCTGGGAGGAGAGAGAGCCAGCGGGGACCTTTGAGAGCCAGCGTGGGGTAGTGGCTAGAGTTTCACATTAGGCTCCGGGAGATCCGGGTTCGAGTCCCCACTCTTCCATGGAAGCTGGCTGTCACACACCTGAGCCTGTCACACACCTGAGCCTGTCACACACCTGAGCCTGTCACACACTCAGCTACTTCACAGGGTTGCTTTGGGGGTAAAACGGAGGAGAGGAGAAGAACGCGTGTCATGACTCAGGTGGGGTGTCACCTGACGCTGCCACCACTCTGGATTTAGGTTCCCTTGAGAAGGCCCAGAGCACCCTCCCAAGACCTTCAGACCTCCCTTTAGGCCGAATAACAGGCGTGAGGACCAGGCAGATTGAAACAAGGACAAGGTTTATTTTATAGGAAGTAAAACAACAAAGTGCAGAATAATAACAGTAAGTGGGTGAAAAGAAAAGAAATCAAATGCCCTAACGCGTCTAAATATATACTGTCCCTAGCTCACTATCTCAAGTGGCCTTAGACTACGCACCCTTCCCTCAGGATGAGGGTCTCTCCCCTTCAGCAGCCTTCCTTCTGGCTCTGCCCTCTGGGAAGAAGAACAGCTTCTGCTCTGGCACCAGCCCTTTTGTTCCAGCCCTCTTCTTCCCTATTGGTCAGTTTTGGCTCCAAAACCTCTCAAAGGCTTCTGGGAGTTGTAGGCCCAGCCTCACCTACTGCTAGCCAGGCTCCCTGGGCCTAGTAGGCCTCTGGTGGCACAGCCCAGATCATGACAACGTGTAAGCCACTTTGGCTCCCCAGTGGGTGAGAAACGTGGGATAAAAATAAATAAATAAATAAATAACTTATTCCTCTCCTAGCTGTTTGTATCACAGCACGTGAGGCCGCGGTTCACGTGGATTGGCCTGACGGATGCCAGTGGCAGCTGGAAGTGGATCGATGGGACACCGTACACGATTCGCCCAGAGTGAGTGCCATATCGGCCTGCCCTCCCTCCCACAATGCAATGCAAGAGACTCCTGACGCTTTGGCCACAGAGTGAACATCCTAGCCCGGTCGGCTGCTCACCGGAGTACAGCCGTGTTCTACTCACCATAGAATCATAGACGAGTCAGAAGGGACCTCCAGGGTCATCAAGTCCAACCCCCTGCGCAAGGCAGGACATTCACAGATACTTCCCCCTCCACACCCCCAGTGACCCCTGTTCCACATCCAGAAGATGACAAAATCCTTCAGGATCTCCAGCCAAAGTGGCCTGGAGAAAAACTGCTTCCCAACCAGGCATGAAGGTCTTTTGGTAGGGTAGCCGTCTCTTGCGCCACTCTACAGTGGCTGTTTTTCTTTCCTTTCTTCAAAAGTTGGCAGCATTTGTGGGGATATCAGTGCCAGCCTCTAGTCACCCCTGCTGGCAGACCCTCAAACAACTGCCCACGTTCCACTTGCGAGGAATTCCTGGGGTCTTGGCAACCCCATTTTGGGAATCTCTCTTTCACCTGTCCCCGCTTCGTTGGCCAGCAGCACCTGCTTGAAGGTCACGAGAAGGGGGTAGGAGGTTTCAGTTGGCCCCTCAGACAGCCCGGGCATGGTTGCCAACTCCAGCTTGGGAGATTCCTGGAGATTGGGGGGCAGAGCCTGCAGATGGTTGGGGTTTGGGGAGAGAAGGGCGCTCAGCAGACATGGAAAGCAATAGAGCACACCCTCCCAAGGGACCATTTCCTCCAGAGGAACTGATCTCTGTTGTCTGGAGATTGGTTGTTAAGTCCTGGAGATCTCCAGGCCCCACCTGGAGGTTATACTCAGACAGCACCTTGTCAGTAACACGATGGCTAGTCCCATGGGACTCTAGTGATTTACCCGTTTCGAATGAATCTTTTTCAAGGACCGTGATGTTTATATAAAGGACATAAGGCACAATAAGAACATAAGAGAAGCCAATGTTGGATCAGGCCAGTGGCCTATCTAGTCCAACACTCTTGTGTCACACAGTGGCCAAAAATACCAGGTGCCACCAGGAGGTCCAGCAGTGGGGCCAGGAGATAGAAGCCCTCCCACTGTGCCCCCCCCCAAGAACCAAGAATACAGAGCACCCCTTGCCCCAGACATAAGAACATAAGAGAAGACAATGTTGGACCAGGCCAATGGCCCATCCAGTCCAACACTCTGTGTCACACAGTGGCCAAAAATACCAGGTGCCATCAGGAGGTCCACCAGTGGGGCCAGGACACTACAAGCCCTCCCACTCTTGCCCCCCCCCCAAGCACCAAGAATACAGAGCACCCCTTGCCCCAGACATAAGAACATAAGAGAAGCCCATGTTGGATCAGGCCAGTGGCCTATCTAGTTCAACACTCTGTGTCACACAGTGGCCAAAAATACCAGGGGCCATCAGGAGGTCCAGCAGTGGGGCCAGGAGGACACCAGAAGTCCTCCCGCTGTTGCCCCCCCCCAAGAACCAAGAATACAGAGCACCCCTTGCCCCAGACATAAGAAAATAAGAGAGGCCAATGTTGGATCAGGCCAACGGCCCATCCAGTCCAACACTCTGTGTCACACTGTGGCCAGAAATACCAGGTGCCATCAGGAGGTCCACCAGTGCACCTTATATCCTTTATATAAACATCACGGTCCTTGAAAAAGATTCATTTGAAACGGGTAAATTACTAGAGTCCCTGGGACTGGTGATTGTGATACTGATAAGGTGCTGTCTGAATGTAAACCTGCACTCGATGTATTGTTTGGGTGAAACATATTTTTCTCTATGTATTGTTTGGGTGAAACATATTTTTCTCTATGTATTGTTTGGGTGAAATGTATTTTTGATAATATTTGAGACCAATATTTAGACAGTAGTATTGAATAATATAAAAAGAAAAAGAATAAAGCATAAAATGGTTTTACCATAAGCATATATTTATTGTACACAGTGATATATATTTTTGTATGTCTTCCTAACACTGCGACCCTCCGTTTTTGTATCTCCCACCTGGAGGTCGGCAACCTTAAGCCACAGTGAAGGGTGCGCGTGCTGGTTCGGGTTGCGAAGTCCTTACTGTATGTAGAGCGGGGGACTCCAGTGCTGCTCCGGGAGTCCGTGTGCGCTTTGCGCACGCGCTGCAATTACATCACCCGGAAGTGACACAACCACGTCGGGCACGCTGGGGGCGGGGCCACAGTCATCTGAGGGAAAATCATAGAGTTTTCCCTCGGATGACCGTGGCCACACCCCCAACGTGCCCGACACGGGGCACATCGCGTGCTTTGGGGGTGGGGTTCCCCCCGGGGCCAGATCCATCGGCATCGGGTGGGAGTTTCCCCACCCCCCAGGGGGACTTGGCAAGCCTAGTGCTGGTGTTCCCAACCAATGCCCCCTGTCCAGGTCACAATCAGTGTCAGGAGTCACTTAGCCTGTGCCAACGTTCATCCCCAGAGTAGGAGAAGGAATGGTGAAGTGACTCTGAGCATGTGCAGAGTGACATTCCTGTATTCATGAGTAACCAGAGGCAGCCTCGGGCCCAGAGCCCAGGAAGAGTCTTGAATCGCGGCGCCCTGCTCCCTGGTAGCCTTGGCACTCCGCATTCTAGGAAGGCCAGCATCTTTCGCGCCACAATGTCCCAGGCATTCTGGGGGTCACCCGAGTGGCTTCACCTCCCTCCCTCCTCCCTTCCTTGCCATTTCAGGGACTGGCGTGACGAACAGCCGGACAACTGGTACGGCCACGGCCTTGGCGGAGGGGAAGACTGCGCTCACTTGCATGACGACGGGCGCTGGAACGACGACCACTGCTCCCGCCTCTACGGCTGGGTTTGTGAGATGGAGGCAGGCAGTTAAGCAACATCACAGCGCAAGGAGAGCCCTGCTGGATCTGACCATTTAGGTTCCATTCGTCTCACACAGTGGCCAACCGGTTGCCCCGGAGGGCCAACATCTGGGCCTAGAGGCCTTGGACTTTTCAGCCTTTCCTCACGGGACACGGGGGCTCCAGCCCTGCATTATCCTGCCCAACCGTTCCCCTTCCCCTGAAGAGAGAGAAGTCTTGCTGTCCCTCAGCCCAAAAGGATCCTGACGACCAAACCCTTTGACACATCCTGGGAAGAGACCGTTGCCGTGTGCTGCCTCTCACAACAGAGGCCTTCTTCTCCTTCCTCACAATCTTGTGCCTACTGTGCTGCAGAACTGAAGCCCAACTCTCTGGCAGCGGGGATGATTCCGACTGCTTGCGGGGTTGGATCCTGCGGATCCACAAGGGGCTGCACTTTTCCCCCTTGGAGGAGCACTACCACCATTCGTGGAATGGATCCCTGGGATGATCGATACCCCCAACCAGTGTTCCCTCTAAGCTGAGTTAGTGTGAGCCAGCTCACAGTTTTTTAGCCTCCGACTCACAGACTTTTGTCTTAGCTCAGGAAGGACAGCTCCAGAGCAACCTAATTGATGCAGTAGCCAAATTGCTCGCTCACAGCTTTAATGCCAGTAGCTCACAAAGTAGAATTTTTGCTCACAAGACTCCACAGCTTAGAGGGAACATTGCCCCCAACGGCCTCCTTGGTTCCAGTCCCCACCCCTTCCTTTCCTTTTCGGGCTTCTGACCTCTCCTGCTCTGGATCCCTGCGGCTTGGCTTCGGCTTCCCTTCCTCAACTCCACGCCTTCTGCTCTTCCCCGCCTATTTCTCTTCTTCTTTTTCAGTCCCTTTGTCCACCTTCCTTCTCTGGCCCGCCTCTTCCTCGGCTTCCCAAGGCTGCCCACCTCTCCTCTCTGTTTCCATCACTCCTTCATGCCGGTGTGGCTTCAGATCCATGCAAGGGTGGTCTCCCAGCCAGATATGACCTTTCACTTCCTTTAGGAAAGCTGAACTCTTTTGGTGTCATGGTTAGGAGCACGAGCTCTAATCTGGGAGACCCGGGTTTGATTCCCCACTCCTCCACATGCAGCTGCTGGTGTGACCTAGAGTCAGTCACAAGCTCTCTCAGAGCTGTTCTCTCAAGGGCAGTCCTCAAAAGGGCTCTCTCAGCCCCAGGGCTTTTTTTGTAGAAAAAGCCCAGCAGGAACTCATTAGCATACTAGGCCATACCCAACAGCAGGAACTCAGTAGCATATTAGGCCACACCCTGACAGCACAGCTCATTCGCATATTAGGCCACACCCCCATGTTACCAGAAGCGTGGTCATCCAGCCACACCTACCTTTTGCTTCTTATTCTCTGTATCTTGTTTGTTGTCAAAACCCAGGGCTTTTTGCATGTTAGGCCACACACCCCTAATTGTAGCCAACCCTAATGAGTTTCTGCTGTTGGGTGTGGCCTATTATGCTAATGAGCTCCTGCTGGGCGTGGCCAACTTGGGAGCCAGCCGGAACTCCGTTCCTGTGCGTTCCAGCCCAGAAATAGCCCTGCTCAGCCCCACCTACCACACAGGGTGTCTGTTGTGGGAAGAGGAAGGGAAAGGGATTGTAAGCCGCTCTGAGACACTGAGTGAAGGGCGGAGTATGAATCCAGTCTCCTCTTCTCTTCTTCTTTGCCAGCAGTCTGTTGGTGCCATTTTCTCCTACGCAATTAGACTGCATGTGACATGGCACTGCTTTGCTGATTAGCAGAGCTCATGGGTAGATTTTGCCTTATACCAGGTCATTTGAATACCTGAAGCTGCCTTCTCCTGAGTCAGACCCTTCCCTGGTCAGTCTTGCCCACTCAGACTGGCAGCAGCTCTCCAGGGTCTCAGGCGGAGGTTTCCCCCATCACCTACTGCCTGATCCTTTTTAACTGGAGATGCCAGGGATCAAACCAGGGACCTTTGGCATGGAAAGCAGATGCTCTAGCACGGAGCCGCAGCCCTTCCCTTAGTCCTGCAGGTCCAATCATATGGTTTTCACAAATTAATATACAAAGTTTTGGGTTGCTTCCTCATGGGGACAGCTTCTTGTTTTGCTCTCTCTGCAGCAGCAATGGGGCCCCCGCAGGGCACCCACGGCCACCAGCCAATGTTCCCTCTAAGCTGTGAAGTTTTGTGAGCAAAACTCCTACTTTGTGAGCTACCGGTATGAAAGTTGTGAGTGAGCAATTTGGCTACTGCAGAAATTAGTGTGCTCTGGAGCCCTCCTTCCTGAGCTGAGACGAAAATGTGTGAGCTGGAGGCTAAAAAACTGTGAGCTGGCTCACACTCACTCAGCTTAGAGGGAACAATGGCCACCACCTCCGCTCTCACACACACATCTGGCCACCAGAGGGCTTTTTGCTGGGAGCAGAGTATTGGTAGAGAGTAGATTGCTTGGGCTAGTCTGATCCTGCCAGATCTCAGAAGCGCTCTAGTTCTAGTTAGTATTTAGATGGGAGACCGCCCAGGAAGTTCAGGGTCCCTAGGCAGAGGCAGGCAACGGCAAACCGCCTCTGTTTGCCTCTCGCCTTGACCTGGATGGCCCAGGGTAGCCTGATCTCATCAGAGCTCAGAAGCTAAGCAGGGTCAGAAGCGAAGCACTTGGAAGGGTGACCGTCCAGGGAGCCCAAAGTCGCAACACAGAGGCAGGCAAAGGCAAACCATCTCTGAATGTCTCTTTGCCTTGAAAACCCTACAGGGTCGCCAGAAGTCAGCCGCGCCTCGACGGTCCTTTACTCTTCCGCGAGCACCAGAGTGTTGTCGTGTTTCACCTGTGCTTTTAAAAAATAGCAAAAAGCCCACGGGGGGGGGGGTGTGAGCCAATGGCCCGGGATGTAGGTGGGGAAGTGCCGAAATCCTCACCTTCTGGCCCGTGCGGATCCCAAACCTACTTTGGGGATGATCTTCCCAGGAAGGCCACGCAAAGCAGGTTTGAGAAACCGGGGCGGGGTGTCTCTTGTGGGCGGCGGACTCTTGGGCTGTTTCCGGCTTCCGTTACCTTCGATCCAATCACCCAGTTCTTGAGAATCAACTAATACAACTCTGTCATCCACAAAGCGAAAATTCCATTCTCAGAATAAATGATGCACACCTTTATTTTGCCCTTGTCAAAGACTGGGGAAGGGATGTTTGGGACCCAGAAGGGGAGGGCGAAAAGAAGCCAGAGGGGGAGGCCTGGAGCAAGGACAAGTTTTCTCTGGAACGCACTTTGGATGAATGTGGGGAGGGGCCAGGGTAGCGTTCTCTGCTTTCTCCAGGGGTCATTTCCTGCCGGAGCGCACAGGAGCG